CCAAAACTAAGAAAATATGACATTTTTATACGTTTTACTGCGAGGAACAAATTGAACACTCCCACAGTGAGTAATCGTGCCTGTGTGCACTGTCCTGACGATAAAAGTCACTGCTGGTTAAATTGGGTAAAGAGAAAAAGATTGAATACATGTGAACCAGCTGTGCTGTTTCATGCTGGGACATACAGTCACAGTCAACTTCCACTGAATTGCAGCTTGAGAAGATTGCATAGCTGCAAAGATGGATTTGTGTTTTTTGGGTTGATGGAGGCAGATGATCCACTGAGGTGACCCCTAAAGGGAGCAGCTGTAGGAAGGAGGAGATAACTGTGCGTGTCTGAACAGGATTTTGGTGCATTGGTACAAAACACAGCTGTAAAGAACTGTGGCACAGCTGTGATGCAACAAAAGTGCGGTCCTGCATCATCCGTTTTTTAAAGGAGCTCTTTATTCGTTGTTCTTTTAGTCAGTTCTTTTGGTTAGTTTTCATTTTAACACAACTTGTACCTCCGTAGACGCATCATTGCACTGAACAGCGTGACAAACATGGTTTCACTTGTTGATGTGTGACTTACATTCGTCTTCTCGAGTCTTAATCTAACCTGAAACCAAGTGTGTAGGCAGATTTACGTCCCCGCAACACGTGCGTGCGCTCAAAGTAGCTCACACACCGATGTGCAGCACAAAGTTCAGCAATCAGCAAATGTTTGCCATTAATTCTCTGCTGTTGATTGGATGATAAAGTTAAACAGAGCGATATAATTATCTGATTATAGGTTTGGATACAGCTGGTACTTTTATATTAGCGATGAGGACGAAAGTGCTTTGAAGCATCTTAAATGGTTACAGTTGCACAAGTCTGTACGTCTGATCTACAAGTAGAATCAATGGACATAATTTGGTGTAAAAACTCATGTGTGGCCAGTGCAGAAAGGACAAATTGACACTCTGACCTGGACTCACTAATCCCGACCTCGCTGACACACACACGCCAGTACACACTCACACGTGAATGGATTACCGAACCGGCCCTTTAAGCACAGGCCCGGGGGGCCGAGAGGTCAGAGGACCCCTGCAAAGAGCCTCTGTGTGAAGTAAGTGTTTGTAAAGTCACAGAGTTCAGTAAAAAGGCACAGAGGAGCACAACATAACCATAAAGAGACACAAAGTGACCTTAAAGAGGTGAGGACGACTACAACACGATGGGAAACAAAAAAAGGCCGCGTGCCATCATCGTGCAGTCGTTTTATGTTCAGCGCCTGTTGTGAAACATTCCTGGATGTTATGCGTCGCTTTGTGTTCTCATCTCTCTGTAGCTTTAGTAGGTTTTAGTAGTTTGGTGTCTTTGTGGTTATTTTGTATCTTTTTGTGGTCCCTTTTTCTTTGTTGTTGCATTTTCTAGCTTCATTGTCTCATGTTGTCATGTTGTTTGTCACTTCTTGCCTCTTCTTCATCATTTCTCAGCATTTCCTTATTTTTATTCTCTTTATTGTTATTTTATACTGGAGTCCATTTTTTAATAATCCATCCAAACTCACCCACAAACATACACATGGACTCACAATGAGTGGAATACAAAGCTTTGCTTTATAAAACTCGTGTCGAGGCTGTGACCTCTCGCCATCCAGCAGTCATGACTAATCCACATCACCTCTGGCCAATCAGAAGCACTCAGCATTACCTCCGGACTGTGATTGAAAGGAAAAGCAACATTTAGGCATTTAACTGAATTACATCCAGACTCAGTGAAACTTTGACCGGTCCAATGCACTTATGGCCACTAATGAAGACAGACAGACTGAACCCATTCTTGCTTTTCTTCCAACCATTGGAAGTGATTTTGGTGCGGACGCTTCCTTGTTTTGGTGACTGCTGACTTTAAAACGGTGCAGGTCTGTTCAAGTTATCAGGAAAACAAAAGGAAACGTTAAAGGGGAAGAACCTGGACGTGCAGCAGTCCTGTGTGACATAAAGCTTTTGGTTTCCTCTCTTCGTTGGTATTTCATGTCATATTTTCCATCGTGCCCCCCTCGGGGGGAGTAACTTTTCTTTCATCGTGTGGTCTACTTCCCATCCCCACTTCACTTGATCGATGGGATCTCTCAGACTCGGAGCCAAATGCCGCAGCTCTGTAAAATAAGAATCTACTTGCCCTTTTCCAGCTCAGCGGCTCAGCCCCTGCTGGTATCTGTGGTGCTCTTACTGTAAAATCATTCACAGTGGTTATTGCTAGCAAAAAGTTTGAAATAATTTAACTATAAAAAACAGCTTTATACTAATCTGAAAATTCCCCAAATTTTAAGAGAGGAAAAAATCTACAGAGGCCTGTTTGCTCAGAATATGAGCTGACTTAGCGCACAGCTAACAGTCTGGGTTAGTTTGATGGTGACCTGCTCTCGGCCCCTCGAGCTTTAAATGAGTTGATGACACATTTTTGTCTGTTTCTATGACACGTTTCATGTTCTGTTCCTTTAACCTCTATAAATCTGCCCACTTCAGTTACATGTGTGACGCCCTGAGGAGTCTCAGCGCTGTGTGAGAGTGGATTATCTGAATGAGAAACGAGCTGTGAAGATCTCATTTAGGAGCCTGAACAGATGTGGCTGTTACGTCTGATTGCACACACAACTTTGCTGTGTGTGTGTGTGTGTGTGTGTGTGTGTGTGTGTGTGTGTGTGTGTGTGTGTGTTCAGTCTTTACTTGTATAAAAGTCCAGTTTCCTCTTTGGATGTAAAAATATCAGGATCCTGCTCAGATGGATAAAATCTGTGTTTATAGTTTTGCACTTTTCTCATAAATGAACACCTTTCGTCTCAGTTTCTGTATTTTTACCTGCAGTGTGTCTAATCTACCATTGTGCATATTATCCTGAAGTATGCCAGTCTGTGATTGGTCCTATTACGAGTCACATCGAGGGTGATTTCCTGTGCAGAAGGAGAATTTTTCCGTTTTTACCTCACAGCTGTTCCTCGAGTCTCACTCTGAGTTTTGTCAATTTCTTCATCAGACAAAGATGCAAAAATAAACTGGAGGAACAATTAATCACAGAGGAAGACCTAAAGCAAAGTCTGCGCCTTTTCTGCCTTTTTGTACTTGTAGGACTGAGGAATCACTTTCATTCATCACTCCTTTTATTATTTTTTCAATGGGGGGCTCAGTGAAACTGCTGAAGACTAAGCGTGATTAAAGGCTGTGCAAATAAACTTGACTGCACGGCTCTAGAGTTGAGCCTTCCTCCATTCTTCAGCCCTTTCTCCTCTGTTTCCACGCTTGATTAGCAGCAGAAACTCTTGTGCGTCCCGTTAACGCGATGAAAGCGGCGTGATTGTCAGAGCGGTGATTTATTTCTTTTTAAATGTCCTCTGGTGCGGCTCAAGTGTAACAAATGTGCCGTGCTGCATTCAAAGCCGCTTTTGAGCCATCGGGACGCGCAATCAGCGTGTCCGCGCACACACCGGACTGTGCTGCGCATCCGCAGTGTGGGGTGCGCTCTGACTCGCAGGCCGGGCCTGAATGCTGTGACGGTCTTGTTGAGTTTCACGGTTAGTTTCCTTCGTTCAAGCGATTGTTTGCGGCGCAGGCAGGTCAGTGCGGCGGGAAGACGAGGAGGATTTCAAGGTTAATTAGCTGCTTTTACTCCAGTTAATATTTGCAGCGTGAGGTCACAGACTTACGCACCGTGACCCTGATTCAAATGAGACGCAGGTGTTTGAATGAATAGAGGATCAGTTATGGAGCCGCCGGCCTGAAGCACTTTCTGTCCACGTTTAAACCTGAACGTTCAAAGACGTGTTCAACATGTTGATGTTGCACTTTTTGCATTTCTATTTAAATTGTCTAACACATTGTTTTTATGATTTATACTTGGTGTGTTTTTACTTGTAACTGAATCATTTTTAATGCGTTTAAATGTGTGTAAGCACGAAGCATATAAGCTTGTATTTATTATTATAACTGCAGAGTCCTACTCTTGATGAGCCTGTAGTTTAACAACAGTGGACTATAGTTGGAACTAAAAGTTGTTTTCATTGTTTTATCCTCAGATTATCTTTTGTTCACAGGGATGATGTTCGTGGATGTTTTGCCCCAGCAGCACCGAGAGTTGTTTTGTTTTTGCTGTCAAATGACAGGAAACAGCACAAATGCATCATCATGAAATCAGTTATTAGGCGGGCAAACGGCTAAATTAAAGTCCACTGAGGAGCTTAAATGTGATTTAAATCATGAAATGTTGGGAAAACACTTTTCATTACAAAACTTGCACTATTAAGTTTCAGACTGCGTTAGGATTATTGAATTATTTGTCATTTCTCTGTAGACGTGTTGCATGCTGGTGTGAACCTGAGTCCTCTTCAATCCAGTTTCACTCACAGCTGTGGAAGTTTCAGGCTGACACACTTTGCAGAGCCGAGAGGGTTTCAGGGTTGATTTGACCTGCTTGCTCAGGTCGTTTTCTGCCTGCTTTAGCAGCGACTCCCCAGAGACGAGCGCAGCGGCAGCCTGCAGCCTGACTGATGACCTGATGCTGCCGTGTGTCAGTGATGGCGAACGATTAGGAGAGATGTATTCAGTAAAACATATTTTATTGAAGTAGCAATATAAACTATATAGCACTAATAAAATAAATCCATTCACAGTTTAATGGAGTTAAAATGCAGTTTTTCTGAGCATTATGGAAATCTCCAAACAGTTCACGCAGCTCTGGGTGAGACGATGAACTTCAAAGTGAAAGGTTTTCACTGTTTTCACTCGATTACTGATGAAGTTAAAGACGCATCAAATGTTTTCAGTTAATGTGGCTTATTGTTACTCACTCACACGTTTCATGTTAACTCCGCCTTCTTGTCTGTGTTGTTGTTGTCATTTCAGTTGAAGGATGTGTGAATTATGGTGCATTATAATTAAAGGCAGTGAAATTAAAAAACACTTATGGCTGGTGAGAGCTGATGCTGGGTACAGGCGCGTTTGATTGAACAGCCTCTCTCCTCCGTCTGTGTCAGATGTGAGGAACGGTTCAGCCGTCTTCTGGGAGGAGGGGGTCAGCGGTGGGTACCAGGCCCTGCTGTTAGACGAGGATAAAGGCTGGCTGCTGGTCGGAGGGAAAGACCACATCTACCTGCTGAAGTCTGACAGCTTGGATCAGCCCTCGCAGAAGGTAAAGACACAAAGATTGATTGTTGCTGTATCTTAGTTGCACATGTTCACCAACAGCCTGCACATGCTGATCTGGAGAGATTTCACTGTAATCGCTTCCTCTGGCACAGAAAGCAGCCACAGCTCTGGAGCCCAAATGATTATTTGATCTGGCAGGAAATCAGTCGGTAACATTCGTAGTCGTTCGAGCTGCTTTGTTGCCAGCGTTGCTGATTGATGCTCGTTTCTTTCAGATCTACTGGCCGGCTGCCAGAGAGCATGTGGAGCACTGCAGGCTGGCTGGCAAAAGCCTGGAGGTAACACACTGAGCATATTTTAGTATGTGCACAGTTTGTGTGCATTGAGTTTTATTACACAAACAAACTCTAATCACAGTTTATCTGTACAGTAATAAATATCAGTTACTCTGGAGTTTTTGTTATCAGTGTTACAACGACTGGAATAAGTGAAGATCATTAGACATGATCCTGTTTTTGTCTTTTTGCAGACTGAATGTGCCAACTTTGTGCGGCTGCTGCAGCCTTTCAATAAGACCCACGTTTATGCTTGTGGTACCGGCGCTTTCCATCCACAGTGCACTTACCTGCACCTCGGACACAACACAGAGGTACCAGTTCATTCAGTCGTTCATTTAGTTCAAATAAATATGAAGTCACAAAGCCAGAGTGGAGCAGAGGGTTGGCTGTAATGGCATTCAAGACTTTAAAAATCGGATATTTCTGTCGTTTCATATGTGAAAGAGTAAATCTGCTCTGTCGCTTAACAAAGTTTTTATTTAAGCCGCTGATTATTTCCAAACGTAGAAACTGTGAAGTCAAATTCAGACGTTTTCAGTTCCACAGTTAGATGTTCGGCTCTGCCAGATCCAGGAAAGCCAGAGGACCCAGTTCTTTGCTTGAAAAACAAAGCCAGCACTGCCATGTTGTCTAATGTGCTGACTGGAAACATACTGGTGTCACTGCTATGATACACCTGGTGGAGCAGCAGCCAGTCAGGGTCTCGCTCCTACCTCGTCACTAAGGACACTTTGGGGTCACATTTAAACTCTGTGGATCATTTTTTAGCTGGCATGTTGTAAATGAGCTTATTTTACCCCAAACCACGAGCTAAACATAACCAGTGTTTCTGTGGTGTCTGAACTAAAGTGACAGAAAGAAGGAGGAGAAAACCAAAACATGAACCTCAGTGTTTTGGCTCATGCTACAGCCCTCTGAGGCTGGAACTGTACCAGGAACAAGTGGTTCCTATTAAACTGAAGAAATAGTTAGTGCATTGTACTGTAGTGACTTGTTGACAGTCTGCATAGTCACAGAAAATTGGCAGACATGTGCCTCATGTACTCCAGTCCCCCCCAAGTGGACCCTTGTATACTTGTGGTCTGCTATCTTCAGCCAACGTTGCCTGACACAATGTGATGGCAGTGTGAGGAAATGAAGGACAAAATAGTTATAAAACAATCATGAATGGAAACAGAAGAACTGCAAAGTGATAAAAACAACAAAGAAGAGACGAGAGAAATCCCAAAGGGAACACACAAGATAATCCACAGTGGGTTTTCACAGAGAAAACCACGTGGGGCCACAGAAATGTTGCACTTTTGGGCCCTCTGTGTGTTACACCACTGGGCTCCTATGGAGGTTTTCACCGGGCAGTCCACAGTGGCCACGCCCATAGAAAAGTCATACAGGTGTCCCAAAGGGTAAAAGTGCTGCTCACCACTTTGCGATAAATGTGGGTTTTCCCTTCCCCCATAAACCCACAGTTCACCCACACACACCCACAGTGGGCCCAGATGTGCATGTTTGCTGGCCCGTTATTTGTAATAAGGAAGGTTACTGCTGCGGAGAGGATGAAACCACAGAGCATGTTTTAAACCTCAGTAACATGGAAGGGGGGTTGAGTGGGCCCCCAGTAGTTCGGCCCACACCTGCTGTAGAGCGTGGTCCAATGGTCCCAACTGTAGGACCCTCCCTGCATGAGTGGGCTGCCCTGCAGCCCCATTGGACTTTAGGGGGCCCATAGCTTCATGTTCAGTGGCCACCTCAACCTCAAAAAACAGGTTAAAAGATAAGTTTGGTCTAAAATGTGGATTTTTTCCTACACAGTCTGTGTTTGCAGCAAAAGGCCTGAACCAGAGCAGTACTGTTGACTGATAGGTTTCTGTTTGGAAATATGCTGCCCTGCTGAAGGGCTGTTTGCTCGCCTGTGTTGAAGGACTCATTGTTTCCTAATCCATCCACCATATTCAGACTTCTAAAACACTAATATTAATCATCATCATTGTTGGCAGTCCTCTAAAATCAGTCAGCCTCTCTAAAGAGCTTCTGTTCTGTAATGAAGTGCAGTGAAGGCAGCTTCATCTTTGCCCTTCTGTTTATCCATCATTCTGTGTTTGTGTGGTCTCCTCTGTCCTCTCTCCTGCAGGAGCCGTTGTTCACGCTGTCTCACACGGTCGAGTCAGGCAGAGGAAAATGTCCCTTCAGTCCCAAAGAGCCCTTCGCTGCTAGACTGACCGGTAGGTCCCGTCCACCCACGCGCACTCGAAGGTCTGGCCTGAAAGAGTGGCCATATTGAATCATCATCTGTCATTCTCTAAAAGCCGTGTTCACATTCTGGTGACAGCGGCGCTCTGCGGCGTACAATCCCAGCACTGTGTGACTCCTCGCTGCAGAGTGTCCGCTCAGCCGCGGCGTGTGTGGTCCACATGAGTTATTCCACGCTGACGTCAGCCGCTGCCCCCCATGACATAAAGGGCATAAAACACATCGGCCATATTTGGATCACTTAGACAAAGAGAGAGCTCCATAGAAGAAGCCATAAGTTTTTATAACTGACGGTTGTGTCTGTGCTGACAGCTGAGGAATGAGGGTTTACCAGCGACGGAAGCACGATGTCTTTCCAGCACAACTAATGTTTAGGGGAGGCTGTGACTCATGAGTCAGAGTCGGTTGGCTACTAATCTGACCCCTACTGGTTTTGTGCCCCCAGAAAAGTGTTTGCATGATAGCAAGAAAGCAGAAAAGGTTCAGTAAAGCGTTGCAAACCTGGTTTGTAAATATATTGTCACTATATTGCCAGTTGCACTGATTAACTCCGCCTACCAGGAACCTGCAAGACAGCGCACAGGGACAGAAACCCAGCAGGCCCTGGCCGAGGCGCCTCTGCGTGGGGAGTTGTGAGTGTTTGTTTGGAATTCAGTCATTTTAATGTTAAAATAACTGAGCAATAAACACAACGTGATGCTTATTAAACAGCTTAGTCATGTTGTGAGGTGAAAGACCTTCATGTGAGCGCCCTCAGTCATTGGACAAGCCTAAGAAATCAAGATAAGGACATCAGACACGCTCTAAATCTGTTTGTTTAGTTGATAGAGTTGAAAAATGTGTTGATTTGGTGACTGATGAAAATCACTAAACTCTAGTAAGTCGAGTAGAGCCTTTGCAGTGACAACATCCTGATCTTAAATGTGTCCTTCCTACATGAGCTGGAGGATCTGTGCACGCCGTCACATGTTTTTCGGATGTTTACGGTCTGAGCTGTTTATTAGAAAAAGCTGCTTAATGAGTAAAAGCTGTGTACGCTGAGCGGACTGCATGTGCTGTACCTGGACGTGTCTGAGTGCCGCGGGAGGTTAAATTACATGTAAACATGTAGTTAAAACAAGGAGTCAACACTGAAGTTATGGAGGTGCAATTAAGAGGACCAGACTGTTTTTGTTTTTCACATGAAGGTACCCAGGGAGAGAGTGTTTCAGTTAATATTCAGCTCCTTAAAACCACAAAACAAACACTGAGGACCAATTAAGTGATTTTTTAAAACCTTATTAAGACATTTTTTTCAGGAAATGATGTCAGAAATAATTTGCTTCATTGTTTTCTTACAGATGAATGTTTTCATGAATCAGCTTTCAGATATTTGCTGTTCTGCTCTGGGCCTGCAGAGAATGCAGGGCCTTCAGTCGAAGGCGGAGCTATAAAACAGACGCTCTGTGTACTGGTCAACTCCTGAATGTAGGAAAATATGTTCCACGCAAATTTATTGTTCTTGTTCAGGCAGTCGTTCCTTTTCTTTCTCCCTAGACGGGGATCTGTACGCGGGTACCTCGGTCGATTTCATGGGAGCCAACGCTGCGATCTTCAGGACATCCATCCAGGGCAGCAGCCAGCATTACATCCGCACTGAAGCCTACGATCACAACTGGCTCAACGGTAAGAAGCTCCGTTTGTTTTGTTCTCCGTTCGACACACCAGAAAAACTTCTGCAACACATGGAAACACTTACCGGTTAATGGTCCCCTGGACAAACGTTTTGCTACCGTATATGAACCATGTGCACAATAAGTCCTGCAGAAGTAAAAAGTTATGTGCAAAAATTCAACGTTGAATGCAACAGTGTGGCAATAGATTTAAACCCTAGTATGAAACCAGAGGTAGACACACGGTTCCACCAAATCTTTTTAAAGAATGGATGCAGAGTGCACACCGCTCACATTTTCTTAGACAAACCCAACCACTGATATCAGTAAGGATGAAAGAAAGCAGCTTTTAGGGCCTCTGAAGGGTGCAGACATCCACTTTGCCTGGTCGGAAATACAGCTTTGCATCCATCATCCTGGGGAGCTGCTCTCACTAAAGGTACTTTTGACTAATCAGGAGACCGTTACTTAGTCTGTGGTTGTCATACATGAGCATTAATGTCCCTGCTCTGAGAGCCGAGACGATGAATTATTCTAAAGGTTTTAGGACTCCTGAGCTTTGAGCCTGTTTGGTTCTTTTTTTGTTTCATTCTTTTTCTCATTTTGTATACTTGCTTATTGTGTGTGTGTGTGTGTGTGTGTGTGTGTGTGGTTTTAGTGTCAGGGTTACAATTAGGTTATTGTTAGGGTTATTTTTGATGGTCAGGGTTATGGGCTACGGAATGCATCATGTCTGGCGATCGTGGCTCAAGAGTTGGGAGTTCGCCTTGCAATCGGAAGGTTGCTGGTTCGAGCCCTGGCTTGGACAGTCTCGGTCGTTGTGTCCTTGGGCAAGACACTTCACCCGTTGCCTACTGGTGGTGGTCAGAGGGCCCGGTGGCGCCAGTGTCCGGCAGCCTCGCCTCTGTCAGTGCACCCCAGGGTGGCTGTGGCTACAATGTAGCTGCCATCACCAGTGTGTGAATGTGTGTGTGAATGGGTGGATGACTGGTTGTGTAAAGTGCTTTGGGGTCCTTAGGAACTAGTAAAGCGCTATATAAATACAGGCCATTTACCATTTACCATGTCAATGGGATGTCCTCACTAAGATATCAAAACGAGAATGGGTGTGTGTGTGTATGTGAGACACACACAGCCTGGACTTAGTATTAAACTAGACAACTAATAAAACCAAGCTGCTCTCCGATGCATCCATCGGAGTGAGTGGTAGATAGAAAGCTTAAAAAACAAGAAAACTGTGAAAATTGTCAATAATAAATTTTTGAAATTGACAATAATAAGCTTGGATAAGGTACATAAGACATAAAACAAAATGCAGTAGCAGAAAGAAAAACAAATTAAAAGAAACGAAAGACACACATTTTCTGACAGTTTAAGCTGGTGATAGCTCCTCCTCCATGAGAGTCTCCTTCACTTGTTATACCTGTAATTTACAAATAATCTATAGAAACAGAGAGAAGCTCACAGACAGAGTCAAATGTGTACCGTCTCCCTCTCAGAGCCAGATTTTGTGGGCTCCTTCTCCATCCCTGACACGCGCAGCCCGGACGATGATAAAGTCTACTTCTTCTTCAAGGAGAGGGCGGTGGAGGCCGGGCAGTGGGACAAGAGGGTGTACAGCCGCGTGGCCCGAGTCTGCAAGGTAACGACGAGCAGCCTCAACGTGATTAAGGAATCCGTGACGGGGATCAGGGTCCTCTGTTCTGCTGTCCCGCATCACTGTTATAACTGTTAACAGGCTTTCTGACACCTGTTGTGCTTCATGTGTGATTTATCTTTAGTTTTCTCAGTTAAATATAAACAGTTAAAAAGCTAAGCCCGTCTGAGACACAGATATTCAGTTTATTACCATAAGAACTAAAGAAAATCAGTTTTCATATTTAAAACACATCTGGGTAATAAATGTATTAAGTAAAAAGCACCAAAACAAGTAAATACATCTAAAGCTTTTTTAGTTTCAGAGCTTTAAATGAAGCAGTTAAGGTTTGTGTTCTTGAACTGAACAGAAATGCAGATCTGTGGAGACGGACGAAGGTTGTAGACGATGTCTCCTTTTTATGTTTCCTTCCCTTCTTCCCTCACTGTACTGCTCCTTTAAATCTAACCGTCATCCTTCCCTCTCTCATCTCTTCCTCAATCCAGAACGATCTCGGCGGGAGGAGGAGTCTCATCAACCGCTGGACCACCTTCCTCAAAGCCCGGCTGGTCTGTTCTGTCCCCGGCCCGTCTGGAGTCGACACGCAGTTTGATGAGCTTGGTAAAAAACTCCTCCTCTTCCTCCTTTTCCTTCCTCTCTGGATGTTTTCTTACGTGACCTCTCCTGAATAATCTTAGTACAGTACGCCTCGCCTGTGCTCTCGCCTTATCGTCCCAACTTTAAAACGCTGACGCTGTTATATTTGTCTCCTCCTTTCCTTCCACACACTGTCCTGTCTTGTCTTTAGGAGGCCTGAGGTTACAAAGGTTCATCCAAACTGCCACATCAGCCACTGATTAAAACTTTATTGGTACAAATTTGTGCAACTGTGAATGATTTACAGGTGAAGCGACGCTAACGAGGCAAATCTAAACTTCTTCCAGTCTTCCTCCCTCAGTATGAATAACACGGTTTTACTGCTGCACATTGTTCATGATTCTGAGTTTAAAAGCAGCCTCTGTGTTTCCTTAGAGGACGTCTTTGTCCTGGAGACCAAGGACCCTCAGAACCCGACCATCTATGGAGTCTTCAGCACGTCCAGGTGAGGGCGCGTTCAGCCGTGCAGTCACTTACATGTATCATGAGCTGCTTAAACGTTTACGTTTCTCAAGAAATCCTTTTAAAATGCACGATTTTAAAGATCTTTAAAAGTCACGTGATTATTATGTGGTGCCAGGCCGTGTCATTCTGTCCTCAGTGGTGCTCATGAGCTCGCCGCTGCACATGTTCATCACCGAACTTCTGATTCAAGGAGAACTTTATTGACATTTAGGCTTTGAAAACTGAAGGAAACAGTTTTCAAGGGAAGAGGGAGGGCGTCCTCTTCCTGTATGTGCACGCCCACTGCCAGGCTGGCACGTGCACACTCAGGGGTGCAAAGAGCAGAGGTCAGATGTGGGAGGTGTCCAGGGTCAAAGGTGAAGAGGCCCAGCTGGTTGTGTTTTTGTAACCAATGTATGAAAGCACGCCACCTTTTTTCCCCTCGTGTCCTTCCTTTCCTGCTTCCTTCTTTCTCCTTCCTCTTTTATTCTTCCTTCCTTCCTGGCCTGTTTTGGCGTTCTTCTTTCCTCCGCTTCCCCTAACCTCCCAAACTCCATCTTTCTGTCACAGCCGTCACCAACACCTCCTTTTTCTTCCACAGCTCCATATTTCGTGGTTCAGCAGTGTGTGTGTTCTCCATGGCGTCCATTCGAACTGCTTTCAACGGACCATTTGCCCATAAAGAAGGTCCCGACTATCGCTGGGTCGAGTACAAGGGTCACATCCCCTACCCAAGACCTGGCACCGTGAGTACGCCCGCACCAAAAGCCCCCAAAACAAACCACTGTAGCAAGAAACATTTTAATATACTACAACACGATCCTTTGTTATATAAGCAGCGTAAAAATAAAGAAAAATCCCCGAACCTCCCTGCACTGTCGTCTAGTTTTGTGTCAGCCACATAACAGCTTCCTGAAATAAAGCTGAAGTATGCTAACAGATGGGATTAAAGATACGAAACAGAGAACAGTTTCACTGCTGGGAGGTTTGCACAGCACCTGTAAATCATATCTTTGCATACATGTTCATGTGTTTGCATTATTATCCATCATAAACTCCCGTCATGGAGGAATGTGATCCCCCTTTAAAGTCATCCCCAAATGCACAGACAGTCTTAAATCTTCAGCCAGAAGAAGAAGAAGGGCTGCAACCTCACAGCTCCTCAGCAGGCTGCTCCCAGCTTAGCACACAGCTAAGAGTCACATCTTTGCACAGTTCTCTTATTACAAAAATGTAGAGTGTATGAATGTGCAGTAAATATACAGGTATCCCCACATGAACTCCAACTTATACAGAATAAAGTTTTATTATAAAGTCCTGGTTCTTTAGAGCAAACATCTGTCTGCAGTCTGGATGGTTTTTATTTTTATTCTTTTAGGCACTGATTTGAGGCCAGTTTAAAGTAAAATTAATGGCTTGAGATGGTGAAATAAATAAATGACTGTCCTCACATTACTGTGTCTGAAAACACTGCAGTATAACCTTCAGCATCTCTCGAGTATTTGTGGTGAAACGGCCCTTGAAGCACGGGGTAAGGTTTTGGTCAGGCTGTCACTTTAATGTTCAAAAGCTGCTCCTTTTAAAGCCTCGTCGCCCATAAATCTCTGCTAATATAGTGGCGACAGGACGGTATTTATGTTTGTGTGAATAACTAAGACTCTCCTGTGAGATCAGACTCCAAACACACACAACACCGCTAATGAAAACAAGCTGATGGCGCTGCGAGAGGAAAACCTCTGGTGATTTAACACCTGAGCTGTGAAGTCCTCTGGGAAACTTCAACCTGTCAGGAGGTGCTGGGGTTTTAGTGTGTGTCAGGTGCTATTTCATTCTCCCTGCTGGGGACTCGGAGCTCTGCAGAGTGGTGCTGAATCATGTGGCTGATTGCAGAAGAGGTGAGTCGCATCAGAGCTGCAGGGGAGAAGTTTGAAGTAGCAGGATGATTAATAACAATATGAAAGCGTCAGCGCGATGCTGTGATTCGGATCCCCCGATCACTGACTCACTGTCTTGTTGACTTCAGCTTTTTCACTGTGCTCGACTCGTGTCTTCTCCTTTTTACAATCCTGTCTTCAGCATTTCGATCCCTTCTGTAATTCCTTTTCTTTCCTCGCCTCCTCACTTTCTCTTCAAACCACCAGAGTTGGCTATAGACTGCTGGAGGTAGCCATCATGAAATCACCCACTAGTTTGTGAAATGTTTTAAAGCCTGGTCTGTACCATTTTTGTAGCACGTTTATTAGCTGGAACCAGCATCTGTAAACTGTGTAGGCTCAAATATCTGTTAGGCAGCGACCAGAACTGGAGCACAAACAAAAATACACCAGCTGCACAAATACAAACCGATAAATGGCCATCATTACGGATGGATGCTCCCTCTGACCAGGTAAAGTTATACTTACTCCACACTGAATGGTAAAGTCCGGTTAAAGTCCAAGCTGATGCACAAGCTCAGCTTCCAGAATTGTGACTCTGTTTGGTAAAAAATGCTCAACCAAATCTTTGACTTTGTTATTCTAGAAATAAAAACTCTTTAAATCCATGTAAACAATGATAAAAAGCACGACCTGTGTAGTAACGTAGAATAGAAAATCTTCTCACTACATGTTTCTTTCTGTCTGCTGCATTTACCAGACAAACATGAACCTTATGTTGTCCACTGCTCCCTCACTCAGTCGTTCGTCTTCCCCGCTGATGGTTTGTTCCTGTATTCCTCCCTCTGGTCCTCCAGTGTCCCAGCGAGACCTACGATGCTCTCCACAAATCCACCAAGGACTTCCCAGATGAGGTGGTGAGCTTCATGCGGCAGCATCAGCTGATGTGGGAGCCCGTCCTGCCTCTGGGCGGCCGGCCCATCTTAACCCGCGTCAACTCGGCCTACACGTTAAAGAAGGTTGTCGTGGACAGGGTGGACGCCGAGGACGGACCGTACGACGTCTTACACCTGGGCACAGGTGAGGAGGACGAGGGGAAGGAGAAGAGGGGAGGGAAGAAAATGAAAAGTATCGAGACTGTGGAGGAAAACGGACCCGGAGTGCAGCTGGGACTGAAATCTCATCAGTTTGTTACCAGACAGATCAGTTGAGCTGATTCAGAGTGCGATGGAAAGTGTGTAAATGAAGCAAAGAGAGTTTAGAAGTTTACAGAGTTACAAGGAGGCAAACTGGTGACATTTTCTCTGCAACGCAAAAAGGTGTTTTGTGGGTTTTACACTGAGAACAGAGCAAAACTTAATGTTGAGATAAAAGGTGAAAAGACCGTTTTGACTTTGAAACAGTAAAACGATAAAAGAAGAGGCAGGATTGACAAATATCGAGCTGTGAGTTGTCTTTTTTGGCTGGAGGTTGTGGTGTTCTTATATCAGCACTAAATTCCAGTTTAATAGTGACATGTGATTTTAGGAATAGCTGGAAGTCTTTGAAACACAGAAGGGATTTCTAACACGTCCCGTTTCTAACGTGTTCTTTTAACCTTCTTTAACACATTTCCCTGATTTAAAATTTTCATATTTTGTAACTTTTAAACCCATGAATCATGAATAATTCTTCCTCCGTGTTTGAGCCAGAACATCTGCAGACTCTGGAAACATCAGCTTAGTTGGGACACGGCTGACAGACCAGCAGAACGTTCAGATTCGGTTCCCGGTGAAACTTTGGACGCTCGGCTGTGAGATTTAAACCCGTCGGTAAAATAAGGTCAGCTGAGGCGGGGCCGAGCGAGCGGGCGTTTGAACTCGAGCGTGTGATTGGACCGTCTTTTAGAGCGGCGTACTGTGGCTCGCCTGTTGTGTGTAAACACGTTTTCATTCATTATCTGCAAGGCGGTGAAAAATGGCGAGCTTTTATTGTGACGGGGTGAATGATTTCCTGAGTGTGTTGGGCCTTTGTTCATTAATGTGCACACAGGTGCGTTTGCTTCTGTGTGTGTGTGTGTGTGTGTGTGTGTGTGTGTGTGTGTGTGTGTGTGTG